GGAAAGATAAGTAGCTTCTGTCAGGTTTTCTGTTTTTATTTTCTTGGGTTGACCAGAGAGATGACTGAAAATGGAGATGGAGGGGATGCCATGACTGGGCCAAACAAAATCCATCCCAGAGAAGAGCCAGGCTTATTGAATCTCAGGTAGTAGTAGCAGTGATGATAATAATAGTAATAGTAATAGTAATAATTTATATTTATCCCCTGCCCATCTGACTGGGTTGCCCCAGCCACTCTGGGTGGCTTCCAACACATATATAAACATGAAACATTAATACATTACAACATTCTCATCCAAAATGAAAAGTACAATAACTTTTAAAAGAACAACTTATATCAAACACAGCAACATTCAACTATCCATCAGAATCTAATAATAAATATGTTGGTTAATGACAAACCACAAAGGTAATGAACACACACCCAGGTCTCTTCAGTTCTTCCTCTACTACAAATTTATTTATTTATTTCATTTCTATACCGCCCTATACTCGAAGGCCTCAGGGCAGTTCATATAAATTATCAAATACATAAAATCAGAACAAAAACAACAACCCGATTAACCCCCCCCCCAAAAAAAGAGCCATTATATTTTTTTTGCAATTTTTTTATTAGTTTCTATAATATCAACGACAAACAAAAACACAAAACATAACAAACATAAATCATAACCTTATTGAAAATAACGGTTATTTACTTTGTAAAACGACTTCCTCGTTTCCCCTTAGTTGAATTTCATTGCATAGCCTTATAACGGTTTTCCAAATACCAATTTTGATACTGTCAGGGGTACAGGGACAGAGGCACAGGGAAGGCAGGAAATGGAGAGCGATGGAGAGGAATCCCAGGACAGCGAGGAAGAGGATAGCAATGACGCAGGGGATTCCATGAGTCTCTCCAGCGAATCAGAGGATTCCCAGAAGGGGGCGCCTGTGGTCAGGGCAAGGGGAGCCCCAGGGGGAAAGTGTCAGGAGCGGGGGGCCAGCAGGGGACCCCAAAGCGGCAGCTGGGAATCAGGGCCAGCCTCCCCACCAGAGCGCAGCGAAGGGGGGGGGGAAGTTCCAGTGTGTCAGGGGAAACAGCTCCGGCGACAGAGAAAGAGGAGGGGTCAGAGCAAGCCATTCTCCCGGAAGGGGAGGAGGGCAGTGAGGGGAGTAGCATAACTGTCAAAAGGAAGGTCAGAGGTTGGGCGCGCGCGCCAAGTTCAAATGAGGAGGCGCGCGGAAGAACAGGGAGCCCGGAGGAGGAGGAGCCAGGTCCCAAAGCCCACAGGAGGGGGGAGGAGCAGTCTGGAGACTCCGCTTCAGGAGAAAGCAGGAGGGGAGGAGCCCCGGCGGGCAGAAAGACCCTGCGGAAAAGGAAAGAGAGAAAAAGGTGGAGCAGCGTTAGCTTATTAAACTGGTGTAGGGGAGGGACCGATTCAGAGGGGACTTCTAACGTCTAAGGCTAAGAGACGCGGGGCTGCGCGCCTCGGTTGTGGAACCAATAATGAACTGCAATAAACATCCTTGTATATAAGAAGAACTTGGCGTTGGTCTTTTGTGAGCTGAGACCTGAGGCAGCCCTGACAGATACCCTTTAAATTAAACATTAACATCTTTAAATCTTCTCCTTCTTATACTAAACATATTATTTTATCAGTTAACATAAATACAATCCTAAGCCCATTAAGTATCTGGAAGCTATTTCCAGTTAGTTTAGCTTAACAAATTTAGCTAAATAATCATTAAATTTCTTCCATTCTTCGTGGTGTTCCTTCTCCTTCTGGTCGCGGACTCTTCCGGTTAGATCGGCTAGCTCCATAAAATCCATCATCTTCATCTGCCATTCTTCTACTGTTGGTAATTCTTGAGTTTTCCACTTTTTAGCTAACAAAATACATGCCGCAGTTGTGGCATACAAAAATTTCTTGGGCAATTCCAAACCTGTTATTCAAAGAAGAAAGGCCTCTGGTTTCTTTATAAATGTATATTTCAACATTTTTTTTCAATTCATTATAAATCTTTCCCCAGAAGTCTTTCACCTTGGGGCAGGTCCACCACATATGAAAGAATGTTCCTTCCTTTTACATTTCCAACATGTATTATCACAATTATGATACACCTTTGCTAATTTTACAGGAGTCAAATACCATCTATACATCATCTTCATATTTTCCTTTAACAAAGTACATGCGGTGAACTTAACCCCTTTCTTCCACAATCTTTCCCAGTCCTCAAACATTATATTATGTCCTAAATCTCTTGCCCACCAAAAAGAGCCATTATAGGATATAGATCAAGTCAGGCAAAGGTCTGGTTAAAAAGGAACATTTTTGACTATATAATGAAGGCAGCAGGCATACTTCCCTGGGGAGAGCATTCCACAGATCGGGAGCCACTGTAGAGAAGGCCCCGTTCTCATGTTGCCACCCTCCGGACCTCTTGAGGAGGAGGCAGACGAAGGAGGACCTCAGAAGATGATCTCCGGGTCTGGGTGGGTTCATATGGAAAGAGGCAGTCCTTGAGGTATTGCGGTCCTGAGCCGTTTAAGGCTTTATAGTTCAAAACCAGCACTTTGAATTGGGCCTGGAAACTAATTGGTAGCCAGTGCTCCAGTGAGCAACCTGGCCCCTGAATTCTGCACTAGCTGAAGTTTCTGATCTGTCCTCAGAGGCAGCACTACTTATAACGCACTGTAGTAATCTAACCTTGAGGTTACCAAAGCATAGACAACAGCAGTTAGGCTATCCCTGTCCAGATAGGGGCATAGCTGGGCCACCAGCCTAAGGTGATAGAAGACACTCCAGACCACCGAGGCCACCTGAGCCTCAAGCGACAGCAAAGGATCTAGGAGGACCCCAAAGCTACGAACCTACTACTTCAGGGGCAGTGTAACCCCATCCAGAGCAGGTAACCTCCCAGCCATCCGGTCTAGGGAACCACCCACTGACAGTGCCTCAGTCTTATCTGGATTGAGCTTCAGTTTGTTGGCTCTCATCCAGTCCATTACCGAGGCAAGACACTGGTCCAGCACTTCCACTGCATCACCTGCAGATATAAAGGAGAAACAGCTGAGTATCATCCACATACTGCTGACAATGTACTCCAAACTCCAGATACCACCACCCAGCAGTCAAATAGGACTGAGCCCTGCAGAACCCCACATTGAAGGTTCCATGGGGCTGAAAAGCATTCCACAAGCAACACCCTCTGGGAGTGACCATCCAAGTAGGACTGGAACCACTGCAAAGTGGTGCCACCCACTCCTAATTTAGAGAGTCGCTCCAGAAGGATACCGTGGTTGATGGTATTGAAAGCCGCTGAGAGGTCGAGAAGAATTAACAGGGATATGTTCTCATGTCTCTCTCGACAGAGGTCATCATACAGGGTGACCAAAGCAGTGCAAACAAGTCAAAGTGCAAACAAGTCAAAGTGAGCTACCATTGGTTTATCACCTCCTTAGGGCCAGCCTGTAACAGTCCCTGTACAACCCAGAAAAGCTCTGCCAGACAACCTGAGGATGCAATGGAGGCAGCAAAGTATGCCTTTGCTACCTTCACTGCCACTAGGTAGACTTGATAATGAGCCCTTACCAGTGTTTGGTTGCACTCTTTCGGATCTTTCCTCCACTTGCATTCAAGACGTCTCCCAGCTTGTTTCCTCGCCCTGAGCTCTGGAGTATACCAGGGAGCCGATGAGGCTCCACCAAGTGGGAGAGGGTACTCAGGGGTGATCGTGTCAATAGCCCAAGCCATTCGGGTGCTGCAGAGGTTGACCAGGGCTTTGACAGGAACACCAGTCATACCAGCTGGAAAACCCCCCAGAGATGTTTGGAATTCTACTGGATCCATCAGCCTCTGGGGGCGGACCTTCCTAATAGGTCCCCGCCTCTATGGAGGGGGGAAGGTGCTGATATTCTAAATCTCAACAGGAAGTGATCTGACCATGACAAGGGACTGATGTCCATGTCCCCCACTTTCAGATCACCCTCTTCCTGCCCAGTCAAGAAAACAAGGTCCAGTGTGTGGCCTGCCTTGTGCAGTGGGCCAGAGACATGTTGGGACAGCCCCATAGTTGTCATGTCAGCCATGAAGTCCTGATCTACCCCAGAGGCAGCTGCCTTAGCATGGGTGTTGAAGTCTCCCAGAACCAGCAGTCTGGGAGTCCTCAACACCGCCTCTGAGACCAGTTCTGTCAGCTCAGGCAGGGAGACTGTTGGGCAGCGAGTCGGGCGGTAAACCAGCAGAATCCCTAATCTGTCCCAATTACACAACCCCAGGAACACACACTCTAGCTCCCCCCCCCAATGGACAGGAGCCTGGAGATAGAGAATCTCTATAGATCACAGAAACTCCCCCCTCCCTGACCCCTGAGTCTGGCCTGATGCTGTTCTGAGTACTCAGGTGGGCACAACTAGGTGAGACCAACTCCACCATGTTCACCCACCCAGGTCTCAGTGATACAGGCCAGATCAGCCTCCTCAACCATAGTCAAATTGTAGATGAGGGTAATTATAATCTGGGCCAACCTGGTGTTCAACAGCAGCAGTGCAGACCCAAGGGCTGGCTGATACAACAACCCCAATTCCCTGTGTTGGAGGAGGGGCTGGCACACGGCAGAGTCACTAACTGCCTGGGCCATGTGCCCCTTACCCGGCCTGTTCCTCCTCTCACACCTTACCTCCCCCTACCCAGAACCACTATAATTGGGGCTCCCCTTCTCCTCTCCTTCCAGGCACATCCCACCCTTGAGGCCCAATTAAAAAACCCATTTAATTAGCATTCTTCCATAATTGAGGGCTCCATTTGTTCATGAGGCTCTAAATCCCTTTTTGTCTCCATTGCAGATTCTGAAGAATTGGAAATCAAGAAAAAGTGTGACCACAGCAAAATCCCCAGAGAGGAGAAGCCACGTAAACATTTGGTGTGTGGAGAGAGCTGCAGTCAGAGCTCCCATTCCACTTCCCATCAAAGAATTCTCAATGGAAAGAAAGCCTATCAGTGTGTGGAATGCGGAGAGAGCTTCAGGAAGAGCTCTGATCTCACTTGCCATCAGAGAATTCATACAGGGGAGAAACCCTATCACTGCAGGGAATGTGGAAAGAGCTTCAGTCAGAGGGGCCATCTCACTTCCCATCAACTAATTCATACAGGGGAGAAACCCTATCAGTGTTTGGAATGTGGAAAGAGCTTCAGTACAAGCTCCAATCTCACTTCCCATCAACTAATTCATACAGGAGAGAAACCCTATCAGTGTGTGGAATGTGGAAGGAGCTTCAGTCAGAGTGGCCATCTCACTTCTCATCAAAGAATACATACAGGGGAGAAACCCTATCAGTGTATGGAATGTGGAAAGAGCTTCAGTACGAGCTCCCTTCTCAATTCACATCAACTAATTCATACAGGAGAGAAACCCTATCAGTGCTTGGAATGTGGAAAATCCTTCAGGAAGAGAGGCCACCTCACGTCCCATCAACTAATTCATACAGGAGAGAAACCCTATCAGTGCTTGGAATGTGGAAAGAGCTTCAGTAGGAGCTCCCTTCTCAATTCCCATCAACTAATTCATACAGTGGAAAAACCCTATCAGTGCTTGGAATGTGGAAAGAGTTTTAATCAGAGTGGCCATCTCGCTTCCCATAAAATAATTCATACAGGGGAGAAACCCTATCAGTGTGTGGAATGTGGGAAAAGCTTCAGTACGAGCTCCCTTCTCAATTCCCATCAACTAATTCATATAGAGGAGAAACCCTATCAGTGCATGGAATGTGGAAAGACCTTCAGGAAGAGAGGCCATCTCACTTCCCATCAAGTAATTCATACAGGGGAAAAACCCTATCACTGCCTGGAATGTGGAAAGAGCTTCAGTAGGAGCTCCAATCTCACTTCCCATCAAAGACTTCATACAGGGGAGAGACCCTATCGGTGCATGGAATGTGGAAAGAGCTTCAGTAGGAGCTCTGATCTCACTTCCCATCAAAGAATTCATACGGGGGAGAAACCCTATCAGTGTGGGGAATGTGGAAAGAGCTTCCGTGACAAGAAGATTCTCTCTTCTCATCAACTAATTCATACAGGGGAGAAACCCTATCAGTGTGTGGAATGTGGAAAGAGCTTCAGGAGCAGCTCCTCTCTCACTTCCCATCAAAGAATTCACACAGGGGAGAAACCCTATCAGTGCAGGGAATGTGGAAAGAGCTTCCGCAAGAGTCACCATCTCACTTCCCATCAAAGAATTCATACGGGAGAAGCCATTTAATTTATTGGATGTGGATAAAGCTTCTGGAAGAGCTCCTCTCTTGGTTCCCATCAAAGAATTCATACGCAAGGTGGAAAACCCCTTCATTATACAGCTTTAGGGTCCAGTGTAATGCAACCCTTTCCGCTGTGTGAAACCTCTGGCTACTAGTCTAGCCTTGTACTGTGGTTCTCCTGTCACTGTGGGTTTAATTCTGTAAACCTAACTACAGCTCACTGCCTGCTTGCCTTCGGGCAGCTTCATGGTGGAGAACACACCTAGAGACCTCATTGAGTTCATCTCTTTCTCAATTGCCTCTTGCCATTTCCTGGCTTCTGCTTCAGGCAACTGTTGAACTTCCTCAAAACTCTCTAGTTCTCATTGCACCAACCCAACCCATACACTGGTGACTTTGAACCTCTCAGGCAGATTACCTTTTGTGGTGTGTGCAGAACACCTTGGAACCACACCAGAAGCCCCCTCTGACCCACTGGGGCCAGCTAATGTGTCCTTGGCATCAGAAGACTCCCCCTCTGACTTACTGCATCTTCTGAACTTAACTGGACTGGTGGGAGATGTTGGTGCACTCTGAGGCTCTTACTTTACAGCCTTTGGAGATGCCCTTTCTTGCTCCTGGTCAGGAACCTGATCCTCAGCAGGTTCAGTTACTAACTCTCCCTCCTCAGCAGAGTCAGGCAGACTCTCTGAGAGAATATCTGGATTCCCATGGATGCGTGTCCACCCGCTTCGCTCATAAAACTCAGCACTCCTGCTGACTAGAACCTTTGACTGATTGCCTTCTGGATAGGCAAATCTCCACCCCTTTGTCCCTGGCTTATACCCACAAAAGATCATTTTCCAGGACCTGGGGCCACCCTTTCTGTGTTTGGCCTTTGGCACAAGGACCCAAGCCTCGCACCCAAACACACAGAAGAAATGTACCTTTGGTTTCTTACCATGCAACAGAAAATAGGGTGTGTCCCTTACAACAGAGTTGTAAGAACGATTCAGAGTGAAATTCGCCGTCTTCCAAGCTTCTGCCCAGAAGTGTTGTGGTAAGCCTGAGTCAAAAAGCAGCGCTTCCACCGCTTCCTGAAGCGTTCGGTTCCGCCTTTCTGCCATCCTGTTCTCCTGTGGTGAGTGCAGAACCGTCAACCTGTGACGTATCCCTTTCTGGTGAAAGTAATTCTGCAACGCAGACCCACTCAGACTTGCAACAGGCATAAGGCAAAAATATCTGCAGGAACCAACTCAAAAGGTTTTGTGGTTATCCTGTCAGACCTAGGATAACTGCATGTTTTTACCTTTGCCTTCTTGCATGCTCTGCAATCCAGGAACTTAGCACATGACTTCATTTTGCATCCCTCAGTGCACCCTGGAATTTTCTTGACATATCCCCAACTGCAGTGGGACATCCTCCTGTGCCACAAATGATGACACATATTGTGAGTGGGAATGTTAGCACGCTGCGCCTGTGCTGACTCAGTGTTTCCCTTACCTGCTTGAGGCGTTTCCAGAACAAATAGCCTGTTCTGACATTCAACAGTTGTCAGCTGTCTCTTGGAACCATTCGGCAAGTGAGACTGTTTTTCCAATGGAAACAGCTCTGCAGTTCTGCATTTGGACACCAGATGGCAGCAGATGATAACTTGCTCCACTGTTGATCACCCAATGCTGTACATTGTTCTGGTTGCCATCCTTCACCGTTGCCATGGAAGCTGCCAAATGATGCAAACTTGTGTCTCCTTCGTTTCCCCTGGGACCTCTCCGTGCGTTCCCACGCCGTCCCATTCCTCTAATCTGGTTACCTGGGGCAACGACCTTGGAGGCATCCTGTTCCTTGGGGCAGTTTACGCAGGTGGTCTTTTGAGCCACAATGATAACAACGACTCGTAGCAAAAGCCTTTACAGTGTCTTCAGTCTTTACTGCCCCCCCCCCCTGGAAACAGGACAGCCTGAGCCAGCTCGCCCCTCTCTCTGCCGATGTTCCTCTTCATTGCACAGGTGCCCTGAGACAAACTGCAGCGTTAAATCTGCTGGGGGCATGGCTTCGAGGTTCAGACACAAATGGTCATAATTCTTGTCTAGTGAACTCAGAAGAATGTAAACTTTCAAATCTTCTGGAAAAGTCACGTTTAACTGCCTCAGCCGGTTATACACAGCCACCATTTTTGCCACGTGCTCCCTGATGGTGTCCCCCGGATGTAGCCTCAGCTCAAACAAACTTCTGGTGACATGGATCTTGGCCCCTGCTGTGGTTCTGTGATGGACCCTCTCAAGTGCCTGCCAAATAGCCTGGGCATTCTCCAACCCTTCAGTGTGGGGCAACTGGGAGGCATCCATGCTCAGCACTAGCAAACCCATTGCTCTCTGGTCTTTCCTCAGAGCAGCAGCAGCTGCCGCCACCGCAGGTGCCACGGCACTGTCTCCTGCCTGGACCAGAGGGGCCTGAGTGCAGTCCCAACACACCCACACACCCACGCAACAGGACCTCACATCCTGAGCTATTAACCCTGTAGGCTCTGGGTCTCCTCACAAACACACCTCTTTAACCAGGTCTTTGGCTGATTGACATCTAATGCCCTTTTAAAATGTGGTGAGGAGGGGTGGTTTACTGTTTTTTAATTGTTTATTTAATTTCTATTTTGTGACTTTATGTTGAATGTGCCCTGAGGGTATTAGACAGGGGTCAGCAAACTTTTTCAGCAGGGGGCTGGTCCACTGTCCCTCAGACCTTGTGGGGGGCCCATCTATATATATATATTGGGGGGAGGGGGTGTGAATGAATTCCTGTGCCCCAGAAATAACCCAGAGATGCATTTTAAATAAAATGACTCATTCTACTCATGTAAAAGCATGCTGATTCCTGGACTGTCTGCGGGCCAGATTTAGAATGCGATTGGGCCGGATCTGACCCCCGGGCCTTAGTTTGTCTACCCATGGTATAAGGCATAGGAGGCAACTCTTAGAGGCTGAGAGGTCTTTGGCCCCCATTTGGAGTCTGTAACTCCCAGTTATTTCACATTATCAATGTGTTTCTGTGTGTTCAGCACATATGATCGCAGGCGAGACTGAATAAAAGACTTCCTAGGAAATTCCCTTTGGCTACTTCTGTATTGTTTCAAATGTGACTTCACTTACAGATAAGAACAAATCATATTTATTGCTGACAAATCATACCATCGTCAGCTCATGAATTTTAACATGAGCAGCTGCTTTCTTCCCATTTCTTAGGTGGAATTAACTGATAATGAAAAGGAAGAAGGAGATAGATCCTTTGCCCTCAGCCTTTGGGGATCTGGGGGGCTTCCTTTCACCCCTTAGTCCTGCTCCAGTGTGGTGTAGTGGTTAAGAGCGGTAGTCACGTAATCTGGGAAACCGGGTTCGTGTCTCCGCTCCTCCACTTGCAGCTGCTGGGTGACCTTGGGCCAGTCACACTTTTGTGAAGTCTCTCAGCCCCACTCACCTCACAGAGTGTTTGTTGTGGGGGAGGAAGGGAAAGGAGGTTGTGAGCCGCTTTGAGACTCCTGAAGGGGAGTGAAAGGCGGGATATCAAATCCAAACTCCTCCTCCTCCTCCTCCTCTTCTTCTTCTTCTTCTTCTTCTTCTTCTTCTTCTTCTTCTTCTCTTCTCTCCTCCTCCTCCTCCTCCTCCTCCTCCTCCTGAAAGCTTGACAGATGTGGAGTATTTGATCACACTCTGCCATGACTTAAAAATCAACCTTTTTTATTTTTTTAAGAAATTGTATTGCAGTGCTAAAAAGTCTCAAGAAAGCAATTCCTGCAGTAGCTGGCATCTTAGCGAGCCCAATGCCACTCTGCCAACTGTCTCACTCCCAGCTAACTAATCTGGAAAGCTGTCCTGTCATCTCTCTCTGCAAAGACTTCAGTGTCCCTTGACTTCACAATTAAGCATTTATGGAAATGGTATACTGGGCCACTGAATGTGCAACCTGCCAGCCCTGCCCTGGATGTTTTGGTGTGGCAGCAAGTGTACTTTGGAACTCCCTGCCACTTGACATCGGGCAGGAGGCTTCATGGCCCACTTTGCAGCATTCAACCTTGTTACCGCTGCTGAGTTTGTGATAGCTACACATTGAGGAGAGAGAAGTCAATTTCCTACGTATATCCCAATGGATTGAGAAAGTATGGTTTTCAGTAAATATAATTTAGCTGACACTGCAAAAGAATGCGTCTAAACCAGCCTAGCAGACTCATGGGGAAATGGACATTTTGGGGGATGTTTTGAAGCAGTAAGTTTAGTGATCATTTATTTATATTTCATAAAATGTATATACCGCTTGATTGTAAACAAAACAAAACCCTCAAGGCAGTTTACACAAAGATACACTGAAATCATGAAAAATCGTGCTGCAGCATTCTGCACCAGTTGCAGATTCTGGATCAAGCGCAAGGGATGCCCCACATGGAGGGCACTGTGGTCATCCAGCCTTGAAGAAACGAAGGCGAGAGCTGCTGTGGCCAGGCCCTCCCAGTCCAGGAATGTTGAACCATCCACAGCTGCTCAAAGGAGTTTCCAGGCACTGAGTCTGCCTGAGCCTCGGCTGGATACAGAAGCAGCCCCAAGCCCCATGAGGTTCATATGGGAGAACCTTTGGCTTACCTTATTTACTAATAAAAATAACTGGAAAGAGACATGAGATAAATAAAATGAAAGCAAACATTTGTGGCCCCCTCTCGTGCTTTCTGCCCAAATGTCAGTGTTGTGGGAGAGGCACCGTGCCTGGCAGGGCCCGGCTTGGCACCCAGGAGGGCAAGGAGGTGTCTAGTGGTTTGCAGGCCCCTTTCTCCCTTGGCCAAAAAGGCCAAGCACCCTCTGGCGGATCTGCTGGGTCTTCACCCCGTAGACGAGGGGGTTCACCATGGGCGGCAGGAGGAGGTAGAGGCAGGCCAGCAGGATGTGGATGTACGGAGGCACGTGGTGCCCAATCCGGTGGGTCAGGAAGGTGAAGAGGGCGGGCACATAGGAGACCAAGATGGTGCAGCTGTGGGCCGCGCAGGTGCCCAGGGCCTTGGCGCGAGCGTCCCATGATGAGAGCCGGAAGACGGCCCGGAGGATCATGGTGTAGGAGGCAGCAATGAGCCCCAGGTCCAGCACCACCACTGAGAGGGCCACACAGATGCCATACACCCGGTTGACAGTCGTGTCACTGCAGGCCTGCTTGACCACCGCCATGTGCTCACAGTAGGTGTGCTGGATGACTGTTCGGAAGCCACCAGGCAGCCTCTTGAGGAGGAGGAGGGGGCAGGGCAGGACCAGGATCACGCCCCGGGCAGCCGCCGCCAGCCCCATCCTGGCCACTGCTGTGTTGCTAAGGATGGCCGCATAGTGGAGAGGGTGGCAGATGGCGACATAGCGGTCAAAGGCCATGGCCAGCAAGATGGCGGACTCCACGATGGAGAAGGTGTGGATGAAGTACATCTGCGTCAGGCAGGCATGGAAGCCAATCTCCCTAGCGCCCGACCACATGATGGCCAGCATCTTGGGCAAGGTGGAGGTGCTGATGACCAGGTCGTTGGCGGCCAGCATGGAGAGGAAGAGGTACATGGGCTGGTGGAGACTGGGCTCCGTCTTGATGATGAAGAGGATGGTGACGTTCCCCAGCACAGTCAGGACGTACATGAGGAAGAGGGGGGTCCCAATCCAGGTGTGGAAGGCTTCCAGACCAGGGATGCCCACCAGGATGAAGGAGAATTGGCCCAGTAAGCTGGCTGTGCTGTTGAGGGCCTCCAGCGTTGCGGAAAGGAGTCGCGAGAGAGACCCACCCTGGCGAAGCTTCTGAGACCTGGAGAAAGTCACACAGCTGGAAGAGGGAGGGAGAAGGGTGGCCCCTGGAGGAAGTGCTGGGCTCACCTGGCTCCCTCCTGCACCCTTTCAGGAGCCCAGAAAGGACTATTCCCGGCTGCTGCTAAAACCAAGAGCCCATCTAGCCCGGCCTCCTGTTCTCACAGTGGCCGATCAGGTGCCCCAAACAGGAAACCCCCAAGCAGGATCCGAGCACAAAAGTCCTCTTCTCCCCTCCTGTGGCTTCCAGCAACTGCTTTTCAGAAGCTTGGCTGCCTCTCCTTGTGGAGCCAGAGCAGAGGCCTCTCCTCCTCCAGGAATTTGTCCTTGAAAGGCTCATTGGTTGGTGGACATTGCTGCCTCATGAGGCAGGGAGTTCCACCATTTAACTAAGAAGGACTTCCTTTTATGCCCCCTGAATCTTCCAACATTAATCTTCATTATGGGCTCTAATGTTGGGAGAGGAGAAAAATTCTCTCAATCCACTCTCTACATGCCATGCAGAAATTCATAAATATCCATCATAGGTTTCTCCGGCCAGACATTACCAGGATATCAAAGGTGGAATTGTCCAACAACGTTTGGAGTGTCCTGGTTTTTACTTTTTGAAATATGGCGGTCCTAGGGTCTCGAGCTGGCATAAGCCTAAAATTACTTTCTGGCCCATGAAGAACAGCCACACCAATTTTCTGCAGCTCTTAATGATCTACGATATATGTTTGTGTGTGTACAAATATACACCCACCCTATAATTCCCCCCTCTCTGGTCTTCTGTGGTCTCGGCTCCCTCACCACTGCCCAACCCCTGTGGCCAAAATCATTCTTGTTCTTCCTGGATTGAATTCTGCCTCAGGGCAGGGACCTGCCCTTGAACACTTTGCAAAAGGCCACCCATGCCAATGGCACAATGTAAAATAGCGGTAATGGTGACTTTTACAATGCTCTTTTGTGTGTGTGCATAGCGGTGGGGGGTGTCTGTGCAGGGGGCAGCTGCCCCCCTAAATCAAGTAAATAGAAAACATTTAACTAACTGACCAATTGTATCACAGTTCTGCCCCCCACCCAACATAAAGCTTGCACCCCCCCCCAAAAAAATAAATAAATCCTGGCTATGTCCATGGCCTTGTGCCTGTTTTATTCCAAAACACTGACATTTTGGGACTGTGCTGAGATTATTGTTCACCTTTTCCAGCCACACGTCACATCACTGCCTTGGCTCCATCACGTTCCCTTCAGACCCTTGCGATGCCGTGGCTTCCCTTGACCAGGTCACTGAAGGTTACCCTCTGCAGAAGGAGGAGGAGGAAGAGGAGAAGAAGAACCCCAGAGGGTCATTTGGCCCCTGCAGTGCAGGAAACACAGCTACAGAATCGCTGACAGGTGGTTCCCCAACCTCTGCCCAAAGACCTCCCGGGATGGAGAGCTGTTGTTGATGATACAATCATAGGATTATAGACTTTGGAGGGGACACAAAAAGGCATCTAGTCCAACTCTCTACAACGCAGGGATCACTGACAAGGAATCTACCTTGCAAATGCACAAGACTTACTGGGGAAGTGGGAGAGGAGGGCCTTGGTTGGAGGAGACGAGGAAGTGTGGGCCCAGGAGGAAAGAAAGAAGTGGGGCAAGGGAGAGATGGAGGAGAAGGTTGGGAAGAAGGGAAAGGGAAGGGTGGAGAGGGAAATCAGTCTTGTGAGAAGATACAAAGGAAGGATGAGCTGGAAGGAGCAAGGAATTGAATGGAGCTCCAAAAGGGGAAAGGGAGGGGGACAGTGGAGGCAGATGGAGGAGGACTGGTGGGTGGATGGAAGCAAATAGGAAAAAGGGATTAGCTGCCATCCCTGCATTGCAGCGACTTGGACTAGATGATCCTTGGAGGTCCCTTCCAACTCTGATTCTATGACAGGCAGGAGGAGAAGGAGGCTGTGCTCTGGCAGCCCCAGAAATGGCTCCCCTCCAACCTGCCGTCCTGCTGCTACTGAGTCTGGAATAAAAATCACCCTTGCCATCGTTATTGCAGCAACAAGGAATGCAAGTAGAACATGGATGTTTCCATAGGGAGGAACTCCGCTGCCCTATTTTTGGTCCTCCACCCAACCCAACCAAAATTTCTCGGCTCCCTGCAGGACCAAAATCCTCCAACGTTTTCTCTGATGAAAATAGGGATGACAAGGAATTATGGTGCTGGAGGAAACTCTTGAGAGTCCCATGGACTGCAAGAAGATCAAACCTCTCCATTCTGAAGGAAATCAGCCCTGAGGACAGATTGTGAAGCTGATCTCCAATACTTTGGCCACCTCATGAGAAGAGAAGACTCCCTGGAAAAGACCCTGATGTTGGGAAAGATGGAGGGCACAAGGAGAAGGGGACGACAGAGGACGAGATGGTGGGACAGTGTTCTCGAAGCTACAAACATGAGTTTGACCAAACTGCGGGAGGCAGTGGAAGACAGGAGTGCCTGGCGTGCTCTGGTCCAGGGGGTCATGAAGAGTCGGACACGACTAAACGACTAAACAACAATAAAAGGAATACTGGGACATTCCAGGATCAAATCAGAATCTGGGACGGCTTCTGCAAATCCAGGAGTGTCCTTGGAAAAGAGGGTCTGCAAGAGCTTATCCAGCACACAAGCAGGTGAAAGAGAAGCCTGCAGGTTCCAGGCAGGAAGCGCAGATGTAGGAAGGCAGGAAGAAAAAGAGAGAGAGGGGGAGTTTCCAGGGTCACTTACTGCCATTGTGGCTGGAGTGTCTGCCATGCCGGTCCTTGGCATCAGCTGCTTGGAGCTCTTGGGGTCCCCCTGGCACCCCTTATATGCTGGCCCAGATCCTCCCTAGGGTGTCTGTGCCGCGGGCGGCGCCTCCTTCTCTCTTTTGCGCGTAATTGCAGTTCAAGTGTGCAGCTTCCTCAGGGAGGGGAGCAGCCTCTGGACCCATGAGTAGGTGCTGGATCCATCCTGCGACAAAGCTGGACATTGGCAGACTCCAGAGGGACAAATGAAAGCCCTTCTCCACACAGCACAGAGCTAAACTGCCGAGCTATCTCCCCCCCCCCCCCGGAGGCAGTGGATGGTTTCTGAAGAGGATCAGACAGGTTCATGGAGGAGGAGAATGCTGCCAGGGGCTCCCAGGCTTTGCTGGAGGCAGCCAGGCTTCTGAATACCAGATGCAGGAAACCACAAGAATCATAGAATCATAGAGTTGGAAGAGACCACAAGGGCCATCGAGTCCAACCCCCTGCCAAGCAGGAAACACCATCAGAGCACTCCTGACATATGCTTGTCAAGCCTCTGCTTAAAGACCTCCAAAGTAGGAGACTCCACCACACTCCTTGGCAGCAAATTCCACTGTCGAATAGCTCTTACTTTCAGGAAGTTCTTCCTAATGTTTACGTGGAATCTTCTTTCTTGTAGTTTGGATCCATTGCTCCGTGCCCGCTTCTCTGGAGCAGCAGAAAACAACCTTTCTCCCTCCTCTAGGTGACATCCTTTTATATATTTGAACATGGCTATCATATCACCCCTTAACCTCCTCTTCTCCAGGCTAAACATGCCCAGCTCCCTTAGCCGTTCCTCATAAGGCATCGTTTCCAGGCCTTTGACCATTTTGGTTGCCCTCCTCTGGACACGTTCCAGTTTGTCAGTGTCCTTCTTGAACTGTGGTGCCCAGAACTGGACACAGTACTCCAGGTGAGGTCTGACCAGAGCAGAATACAGTGGCACTATTACTTCCCTTGATCTAGATGCTATACTCCTATTGATGCAGCCCAGAATTGCATTGGCTTTTTTAGCTGCCGCGTCACACTGTTGGCTCATGTCAAGTTTGTGGTCAACCAAGACTCCTAGATCCTTTTCACATGTACTGCTCTCAAGCCAGGTGTCCCCCATCTTGTATTTGTGCCTCTCATTTTTTTGCCCAAGTGCAATACTTTACATTTCTCCCTGTTAAAATTCATCTTGTTTGTTTTGGCCCAGTTCTCTAATCTGTCAAGGTCGTTTTGAAGTGTGATCCTGTCCTCTGGGGTGTTAGCCACCCCTCCCAGTTTGGTGTCATCTGCAAATTTGATCAGGATGCCCTTGAGTCCATCATCCAAGTCGTTGATAAAGATGTTGAATAAGACCGGGCCCAAGACAGAACCCTGTGGCACCCCACTAGTCACTCTTCTCCAGGATGAAGAGGAACCATTGATGAGCACCCTTTGGGTTCAGTCAGTCAGCCAGTTACAAATCCACTGAGTGGTAGCATAGTCAAGACCGCATTTTACCAGCTTCTTTACAAGAATATCATGGGGCACCTTGTCAAATGCCTTGCTGAAATCAAGGTAGGCTACATCCACTGCGTTCCCTTCATCTACCAGGCTTGTAATTCTGTCAAAAAACGAGATCAGGTTAGTCTGACATGACTTATTTTTCAGAAATCCATGCTGACTATTGGTGATCACAGCATTCCTTTCTAGGTGCTCACAGACTATTGCTTAATGATCTGCTCCAGAATCTTCCCTGGTATTGATGTCAGACTGACTGGGCGGTAATTATTTGGGTCCTCTCTTTTCCCCTTTTTGAAAATAGGGACAACATAACATTTGCCCTCCTCCAGTCTGCCGGGACTTCGCCTGTTCTCCAGGAATTCTCAAAGATGACTGCCAGTGGTTCTGAAATCACATCTGCCAGTTCTTTTAATACTCTTGGATGCAGTTCATCTGGCCCTGGAGACTTGAATACATCTAAACTAGCCAAGTATTCTTGTACTATCTCCTTAGTTATTCTGGGCTGTGTTTCCTTTGCTGAATCATTTGCTCCAAATTCTTCAGGTCGGGCATTGTTTTCTTTATCGGAGAAGACTGAGGCAAAGAAGGCATTGAGGAGTTCAGCCCTTTCTGTGTCCCCTGTTTGCATTTCACCATCTTCTCCTCTGAGTGACCCCACTGTTTCTTTGTTCTTCCTTTTGCTACGAACATACCCATAAAAGCCTTTTTTGTTGCTTTTAACCTCTCTAGCCAGCCTGAGTTCATTCTGTGCTTTAGCTTTTCTGACTTTGTGTCTACACGTGCTGGCTATTTGTTTGAATTCCTCTTTGGTGGTTTCCCCCCTTTTCCATTTTTTGTACACATCCTTTTTTAATCTTAACTCAGTTAAAAGTTCTTTAGATAGCCACCCTGGCTTCTTTAAGCACCTTCCATGTTTCCGTCTCATTGGTATTGCCTGAAGTTGTGCTTTTACAATCTCCCTCTTAACAAACTCCCAGCCATCATGAACTCCCTTTCTTTTAGTATTACTGTCCATGGGATCTCACCCAGCACTTCCCTAAGTTTTATGAAGTCGGCTTTCTTAAAGTCAAGAAATTGAGTCCTAGTATGCTTGGCTGCTCCTTTCCGCTGTATAGTAAACTTCAGAAGAGCATGATCACTCACGCCTAATGATCCTTCCACTTCTACCCCACTAACCAGGTCCTCAACATTGCTTAGGACCAGATCTAAAATGGCTGTTCCTCTTGTTGCTTCTCCCACTTTCTGGACAATGAAGTTGTCTGCAAGGCCAGTGAGGAATCTGTTTGACCTTATGCTCTTGGCTGAGTTTGACATCCAACAAATATCCGGGTAATTGAAGTCCCCCATTACTACTATCTCCCTTCCTTTTTCATGCTTGGCTATCTGTTCCAGGAAGGCATTATCTATGTCCTCCGTTTGGATGATCATCTTCATCAATTGATAGACTCCTACCTTCAGGAACACTGTCTCCCTCCCGCACATTAGTCAGTTTAAAGCCCTCCTGATGAGGTTTCTGAGATTTTTGGCAAAAACATTCCTCCCAACCGTTGTGAGGTGCAGCCCATCGCTTGCCAGAAGTCCATCTTCAAGAAACTGCAGTCCGTGATCTAAGAATCCAAACCGTTCCTGCTTACACCATTTGCGAAGCCAGCTGTTCACTTCCACTATTTCCCCCTCTCTCCCTGGGCCACGGCGTTCAACTGGGAGGACAGATGAGATGACAATTTGTGCATTTAATTGCTTCAATTTCCTGCCCAGAGCCTCGTAGTCTCTTTTGATCTTCTGGAGGCTATTGCTTGCAGTGTCATTGGTTCCCACATGAACCAAGAGGAGGGGGTATTTGTCAGTGGGTTTTATGATTCCTTGCAGTCGTTCAGTTACATCTTGGATCTTAGCCCCGGGGAGACAGCACACTTCCCGAGACATCTTGTCAGGCCCAAACTTTACTGTTGATGAATACGTCTCATGATAGTCCTGATCAGGTATTTGAGAAAAACCTCGTGCCACTAGTCTGGCTTTGTATCTGACTATTTTTCCATTCCGATCAGTTTTTGTCTTGTAGACCCACCTACTATCAACACACTTCATGCCTAGTTCTTCTGGAACCAATTCCCAAGTATCATTCTGCTTTAGGGAATTCAACTCGGCTTTCATGGCGTCCAGCCATGGTTCAGCATCCTTTGCGGACAGATTTTGAACCTCATTGTAGTTGGCTGGTTCAAGAACCGCACCAGAGTTGCTAGTAACAGCAGCTTTAGCAAACTCTTTGGCGAACTGTGTAGGTGGTATGTATGGCAACCGATAGGCCAAAGTTGCCATAAGTGCCAAGAAAAACAAACATGGAGCCTGGCACGCTTCCCTTGCGCAGCTTGCAAACTGTCCGTGCCGATGCAAAAATCCTCCTCTGCCTCTTTCTCTTGCCGGTAGCAGAGCGAACACAACGGCGAGAAGCAATTGCAAACAGTGTGGGTAATAAATTCAGAGCAGACACAAAGGCCTTCTTATCTTCTTAGCCTTTAATCATGTAGAATAACACCATAAATTCAGACCTGGCGAAACCTCGCCCATTCTCTCCTCCGTACACAGACAGACTGAAACACTTAGCGTCAAGCCACTCCCGTATGTGTTTCTAACCATGCCTCAGGAAAGAGACGTCACCAGAACTCTTTAACCCTGTGAGTTCTGAAACCAATAACACCCCCTCTCGTCTTGAATCCTGAGGGAAACTGTGAACCCCTATTTACAGACCTCTTTGAGTTCAACTCACCTCCCATTGCCTTTTGCCTCCCACTGGCATCTATCCCAGGCAATTGTTGAATCCCTTCCATACTCCCAGAATCACACTGTGCGAAACCAACCCACGCACTGGTGACCTGAAACCTCTCCGGTGGAATCCCTTTTGTGGTCCGAGTTGACCGCCGGAGCTCAACCTCGGGCGCTCCTCCTGACCCACTGGGGTCAGCAAGTGTGTCTCCAGCAAGCTCAGAAGCCTCCCCCTCTGACATGCTGTGTCTTCGGGCCTTCTGCACTTGGCTAACAGGAGATGAAGGCTCACTCTTGGGTGCCCTCTTAACCTGTGGAGAAACCCACCCCTGTGCTTGACCATCATCAGCAACCTGGTCTTCAGCAACAGGCTCCGCCTCTGCCTCTCCTTCCTCCCTTTCTTCCCCCTCAGAATCGGACAAGCATTCTGAGAGAAAATCAGAACTAACCTTAGGCCGTGACCAACCACCCTGCTCAAAGAACTCAGCATGCTTGCTGACCAGCAGCTTGGTCTGATCACCCTCTGGGTATGCAAACTTCCACCCATTTGTTGCAGGATCATACCCACAGAAGATCATGTCCTGGTACCTAGGACCACCCTCCTTCCGTTGCGCTGTTGGTATCGGCACTGAAGCCCTGGAACCAAACGAACGGAAGAAATGCACCTGTGGCTTCCTCTTGTGCAACAGAAAAAACGGTGTGTCACCTACATCGTGATTGTAGGACCTGTTAAAAACAAAGCTGGCAAACTTCCAAGCCTCACTCCAAAAGCTCTGAGGCAGCCCAGAGTCACACAGTAAAACCCTGACAGCTTCAGCCAGTGTTTCACTCCTGTGCTCTGCCACGCCTCTCTCTTGAGGAGACTTTGCACCCGTCACCTGGTGACGAATTCCCTTTTCCTTGAAGAACTCCTTCAGAGCAGACCCAGTGAACTGTGACCCACAGTCGCTTCTGAACTCTTGCACCTTGGTGGAGAACCTTAGTTCCACCTCCGCAACCCAATCCTGGATGAGTTGCGCTGCCTCCCTCTGCGTCCTGAGAGAGAAACACCATAAATTCTGAGAAAAATCATCTGCCACTGTCAGCAGATACCTGGCCCCACCCAGACTCTCACACTTCATTGGTCCTGTAAGGTCTGTGTGAACAAGTTCAAAAGGTTTTGTGGTTACCCTCTCCACCCCGGGATAACTGCACCTTTGTACCTTTACCTTTCTGCATGCCCTGCACTCTAGGGATCTCCCACATGGTTTGATTCTGCAACCCTTAGTGCAGCTGGGCAACCTCTGAACATCTTCCAAACAAGCGTGACACGTTCTCCTGTGCCATACATGAACACATGAATCATGGCTGGGAACACTAGCACACTGCGCCTGAGCTTTTCCTGCATTCCCACCACCCTCCAGAGGTGTTTCCAGAACAAAGAGATTGTTCTTGCATTCCACGTTGACAAGTTGTCTCCCCCCTCTGAAAATGGAACAGGTATCATTTTCAAAACAAATTTTGTACCCCTGCTTCGCAAGAGCAGGTATCGATAACAGGCAACACTTCATCCCTGGTACAATGAAACACTCCAGCTCCGCCTGCAAAACAGAAACATAGACATCAACAACATTAAAAACTGATTTTTGTGTCCCATCAGCTAATGTAACAGTAGTTCCAGCTGAAACAGCCCTGCAATTCCGCAGCCTCCCAGTAGATGGCGTTATCAGGTGATGACTGGCACCCGAATCCACAACCCACTTCACAGCTGTGTCCCTGCTGGTATTGTTTTTCAAAGTTGCCAGAGAAGCCGTGAGATGATAACAGTCTCCTTTCTCTGAGTCACGTCCTTCCTTCGCGTTCCCACGCTGGCCTCCTCTCCGAGACTGGTTCCCATGGGAAACGACCTTGGAGACATCCTGCCCGGCCTCTCTGTTCCTCTGCGGACAGGCCCGTTTAAGGTGGCCGTTAGATCCACAGACATAACATCGACGAGTGGAAAAAGCCTGAACACAGCTCTCATCTGGCTTGCCCCCCCCACCTCTGCAACCGGTGGAGCTACCTCCGCCAGACCTGCCTTCTCGGACACGCCTCTCCTGTTCGTCCGAAAGACGTCCTGTCACGTACAAGAGAGTCAAATCCTGTGGACTCATGGATTCCATAGACAGACACAAATTGTCATAGCTTTTGTCCAGAGAGCTGAGCAAAATATAAACCTTCAGCTCCTCTGAGAAGTTGACTTGCAACAGCCGCAACTCATTGAAAACAGAAAGCATCTCAGTAACATGCTGTCTGATGTTCCCACCGGGACGCAGCTTCATCTCAAACAAGTGTCTGGTGGTATGGATCTTTGCACCAGCCGTGGTTCTGTGGTGCACCCTCTCAAGGGCTTGGTAGGCCTCCTGAGCAGTTTCAAGCCCTTCAACCAGAGGAAGTTGGGAACCCTCCAAACTGAGCACTATAGCTCCCAGGGCTTTCTGGTTTTTCCTCTGCGACGCGTGAGCAGCCGCTATGTCTGCCGCCGCTGCTCCTGCTGCAGGTGGTGGTAGAGGGGGCCCCTGGGTCGCCTCCCACAACCCCTTGGCTACCAGCCAGGCCTTTAGCTTCCGGCTCCATTCGGCCCAATTTTGTCCATTCAATTTTTCGAAGGGAACTGAGAATGATTCACGATCGTCTGCCATCTCCTCCCCCGGGGGCTAAGCTTACTCACGTCTCGGCAGTAGCTTCCTCCGCCTCCCGGCTCCGGCAGACCGGTCCTCCCCAGCGAGCTCCTTCCAGCTTCAAAGACACAGCTCCAGAGCTCCAGCTGGCCCCAGCAACTTTCCTGCTGGCTTCCCCCACACGAGGGACGTTCCTGCAACAGCTTCAAAGCGTTGGCAAACACCCATAACCTATGGCAACCGATAGGCCAAAGTTGCCATAAGTGCCAAGAAAAACAAACATGGAGCCTGGCACACTTCCCTTGCGCAGCTTGCAAACTGTCCGTGCCGATGCAAAAATCCTCCTTTGCCTCTTTCTCTTGCCGGTAGCAGAGCGAACACAGCGGCGAGAAGCAATTGCAAACAGTGTGGGTAATAAATTCAGAGCAGACACAAAGGCCTTCTTATCTTCTTAGCCTTTAATCATGTAGAATAACACCATAAATTCAGACCTGGCGAAACCTCGCCCATTCTCTCCTCCGTACACAGACAGACTGAAACACTTAGCGTCAAGCCACTCCCGTATGTGTTTCTAACCACGCCTCAGGAAAGAGACATCACCAGAACTCTTTAACCCTGTGAGTTCTGAAACCAATAACAGTATGGCCTTTGTAGTTCTTTTAGATCTACGCAAAACTCTCTGATCCTCTGGGTCTGGTGTCTCCTCCTCCTTGGGAGAATGATGGCCTAAAGTAAATGAAGGTGCTGTGTCTGAATCAGTGTCAGACTCATCTGAGGCTTTTGGGCTTTTTGGGCTGAATCATCATCAGAATCTACTGTATTTTTTGCACCATAACACTCACTTTTCCCCTCCTAAAAAGTAAGGGGAACTGTCTGTGCGTGTTATGGAGGGAATGCCTACGGGTGGCATGCCTACGGATTTTCCTCCTCTAAAAACTACGTGCGTGTTACGGTCGGGTGCGTGTTATAGAGCAAAAAATACGGTATGTTGGCATCAGCATTATCATCAGCAACAACAGAATCTTGCCTCTTGCTTTTGCACCATCATCATCTGAAATGGGATGACATTGAAAAATGCCAACTCTGTTCCATTTTGATTACAATCTATGCTTCTAGTCAACCTAATCGCTTTTGTGTCAGTGATTAACACACGATAGGAACCCTTTTCATATCCCAGAAAAATACCATGTTCACCACATTTGCTCAATTTGTTGTCCTGCAAAGTGTGCACCCATACCTCTGAACCAAAAATTTTGAAATGTTTTACGTATGGCTTCCTTTTGTAAAGCATTTCATATGGGGTGCAATCAATAGCGGACTGATATCTACGATTGTACACATAAGAAAAACAGGAAAGAGCCTTGGCCCAAAAGGGATTGGGCAGGCCCGAATCTTGCAACAGAGTTCTTATACTTTGTTGCAAGGTTTGGATCACTCGTTCACACAAACCATTTTGCCAAGGAGATCTGGGTGTGGCATGATAATAAATAAGGATATTGACAAGCTGGAACATGTGCAAAGAAAGGTGATTTATTTATTTATTTAATTTGTATACCATTCGACCCAGTGGTACCAACTGGAATAAAATATGGGGGGGCATGTAAGGCCTGCCTTGCACAATCAATGACATGATGCATGTGCGCCATTGGAATGTCAATGTGTACCAACTGAGGGGTGACCCCCTCAAATATTTTAAGGGGGGGGGCAAAGACCCCTAGGCCTCTAAGAGAAGGCTCCTATTCTCTACACCCAAAGATCTCAGGACAGTTACAACATAAAAGTACAATATAAAAATAGAAAATAAACATCTGTAACCCCCCCGCCACATTTTTAAAGGGCATTAGATGTCAATCAGCCAAAGGCCTGGTTGAAAGGGTGTGTATTTGCCTGGCTCCGAAAGCTGTATAATGAAGGGTCTTTCTGACGTTTGAATGAATTCTTTGATGGTAAGTGAGACTGTGGCTGTGACTAAAGCTCTTTCCACATTCCACACACTGATAGCGTTTCTCCCCTGTATGAATTCTTTGATGGGAAGTGAGAGAGGAGCTATAAATGAAGCTCTTTCCACATTCCGCACACTGATAGGGTTTCTCCCCTGTATGAATTATTTGATGGGAAGAAAGATGGGAGCCCTGACAGAAGCTCTTTCCACATTCCACACACTGATAGGGTTTCTCCCCTATATGAATTCTTTGATGGGAAGTGAGATTGGAGTTCCTCCTGTAGCTCTTTCCACATTCCACACACTGATAGGGTTTCTCCCCTGTATGAATTCTTTGATGGGAAGAGAGATGGTGGCTGTTACTGAAGCTCCTTCCACATTCCACACACTGATAGGGTTTCTCCCCAGTATGAATTCTTTGATGGGAAGTGAGACTTTGGCTGTGACTGAAGCTCTTTCCACATTCCACACACTGATAGGGTTTCTCCCCTGTATGAATTCTTTGATGGGAAGTGAGAGAGGAGCTCTGACTGAAGCTTTTTCCACATTCCATGCACTGATAGAGTTTCTTTCCAAGGATATTTTGTTGATGGGAAGTGGAATGGGAACTCTGACTGCAGCTTTCTCCACACTCCAAATTATTACGTGGCCTCTCCTCTCTGGGAATATTGTCGTGGTCACCTTCGTTCTCGATTTCTGATTCATCACAATCTGCAATGGAGACAAAAAGGGATTAGAGCCTTAGGAACAAATGGGGAAGAACGGAAAGGAGTTGGGTGTGTGTTCATTACATGTTTTGTTTGTCATTAACAAACATATTTATTATGACATTCTGTTCAGTTGCTGAATGTTGCTTTGTTTGATATACAGTAGTGGTCAAAATTGTGGAAGATTTTTGTAAAAAATGTATTTCAGAGGTTTGATTGCTCATAACACAGCTTCTTTTGGAGTAATATCATACAATTATATAGCAACGTAAAGATAATTTAATCAAGAATGCAATTCAACAAAGTTTGTTCAATTACCCATATTCTATCTAAAGCTATAGCCAAATAACCAGAAAAAGGAAGCACAACTTGCTTAGGATGACTTTGTCAGTGTCTTGTGTGATTGCTATCAAGTTGGTTGGGGGGTTTTTTTTGTTCTTGTAAAACATAATAAAATTATAGAAATGGCACAAAGAGTTGACTGGTCACCCAGAAAGTGATGTAAAATTGTACTGTTAAGTGAACAAGGCTACAGTTATGAAGAAATTGATGAAAGAGTAGGAAAAACTTAACCAAAGCTGGCATTTCTATATTTTTGAGGCGGTATAAGGAGACTCAGTCACTACAAAATCAGACTGGTAAAGGCAGGGAAAGGTGCACAAAGGCAAGTGACGATGGACGAGTGGAGAGACTGTCCCTACATGACAGAAGAAAATTATGTAGGTGTATACAAGATGACATGGCACAATGTAATGTGAGGTTGAGTGCAAGGACTGGTCTAAATGCTAGAATTCTAAGGAAAAAGACATTAACATCTCTCAAGCAAAGGTTGAAAAGATTAAACCCATGTTAACTGGACAGCGGAACAATGGAATAATGTTATTTGGAGTGATGAGACCCAAATCTCCTTGCTTGGTAGTGATGGTATGACATACGCGAGGTGAAAAATCAGAGATTTATATCCTACTTGCATTACACCAACCATGAAACACCCAGATACAGTGGAACCTCGACTTACGCATGGCTCTTCTTACGTGCGATTTCAGTTATGACCTTCAGTAGGCGCTTTGACTTATGAACTTTCCTCTATATACAGCGGTCTTGCCAGCAGCCGGGAGCTCGCCCGGCTGGCTGTGGGGCAGCACTGAGGCCTCTGATGCCAGGGAGAGGGCCCCATCCACCCCCGAAGCTGTGGAAAAGGTGTCGCCTGCCTGCAAGAGACACAGCAGGGAGCACTGCAGCCCCAAACCCCACCGAAGAACCAACCTGAGGAAGTCTAGAGAAGAACCTGGCCTGGCAAGAAAAAAGCATGGCATGACCCTGGCCGAAGTGAATTAGCTCTTTACTGACCCTTGCCCCACCCCTAGCTTGTAGCCAGATAAGCCCACCCATCCACAGTGCACGTAAGAAAAAAAAACGTTAATTTTTTTCATCTACAATACTGTCTTATTTATTTTATAGTACAGTACATTGATTATTGCCTTCATTTTATCGATCTATGGTCTTGTTAGAGAGTAAAATCCATGTTAAATTGCTGTTTTGGGGGTGTTTTTCATTGTCTAGAATGGATCTATTCACTTTTCCATTACTTTCTATGGAAAAGGGTGCCTCTACTTATGTATGTTTCTAGTTATGACCGAACCTCCAGAATGGATTATGGTTGTAAGTAGAGCTTCCACTGTAGTGTGATGATCTGGGGTTGTATAGCAGCAAAAGGTGTGGGCAGCATTTGCATCATTAATGGGAATGTAAATACTTTAGCCCAAACTGAAGCGTTCCACAAGTGATCTTTTCCCAGATACTGAAGCATTTAGATATCTTTATATCTTTATTTATTTATTTTCTATTTCAACAGGATTCAGCTTCATGTCATGTTGCTGCTGTGTGCAAAAGGTGCTAATCCTATTCCACTGCCGGAATGTCCTGGGAATAGCCCAAACATTAATCCAATCAGAAATCTATGGAGCCGACTAAAGAAACTTGTTAGTCAGAAGCAACCCAGCAACAAAGCACAATTAATAGAGGCAATAATTCAGTCTTGGTTTCACATTACAATGGTACCTCAGGTTACAGACGCTTCAGGTTACAGACTCCACTAACCCAGAAATATTACCTCGGGTTAAGAACTTTGCTTCAGGATGAGAACAGAAATTGTGCTCTGGCGGCATGGCAGCAGCAGGAGGCCCCATTAGCTAAAGTGGTGCTTCAGGATAAGAACAGTTTCAGCTTAAGAACGGACCTCCAAAACGAATTAGATACGTAGCCAGAGGTACCACATTACAGCTGCAGAACTAAAAACTTGGTTCACTTCATGGGAAGGTGTTGTAAGTGTTGGGAAAAAGCACCAATGCAAAACCCAGCTGCAAGTGGCTGGAATGCAAAACAGGATGTTGTTGTCTCGAACTGTACTGTTGGAGAAAGGGGGCAGTCCATTCTCTGTACTGAGCACCGGATGTTAGCTCAGAGTGTCATCTGACCTGTGCTGGAAGTACAGGGGCGGAGTTGTGACTCTTCTGCTGGAGTCTGAAGGGTACAGACACGTTTTCTATGTACTGCTGAACGACAGGAATAAAACATGTAAATCGGACTCCTGTCTGTCTCATTTCCCCTCCCTGGGGAGAATGCAGGGAGGGAGAGAAGCAGAGGGTGTGTTCTCCTCACGTCTAATGAGGAGAATCGCCGGTTTACAACCTAGCCTGCCAGGAGACGCAGACAGAATGTAAACAAGTATCTCACTCAGTTTGCCCGTGGGAGGCCAGTTACCTCTGACTGTGAGCTGAGATACTGACAGTAAGGCAGTAATTAACGCTAAAGGTTACCAATGGTTACCAAAGGTTTCAATTTTTTTCTTTATGACTGCTGTTCTAATAAATACTCCCTCATAAAATTTCTTGCATTACATTCTTCATTAAATTATCCTTCCATTGGGATATAATTTTGTTGGTACTAAAGGGTTAAGAGGTAACAAGTCGCTCTAATCACTGAGCAGCTGGAAGTCATTAAGCATCCAGGAATGTGAGTTAGTTTGTATAAATAGTCAGTTCACCCGTGTGTTCTCTCTCTCCCCCCCCTTGACCTGACTCGCAGACTCAGTTTGTGGCCATGGGCGTGTTTGCTAATATGAGTTAAGTTTAGAGTAAAGTTTTCTTTATGCCGGAGATAAAAGCATGTGTGCTTTATCGCCAGGGTTTTTCTTTTGTAAATAAAGTTTTTTCTCCTGAGTTCCAAAGTGCTTGCTCCAGGATTCTTCATGGAAAGGTACTGACTCTCCTGCCTTCTTCAACCGCTGCACGAAATTCTCTGCTGAGATAAGATTCATGGCGTTGGAAGCGCACTGGACGTTTGTTGTTTAGTCGTTTAGTCGTGTCCGACTCTTCGTGACCCCATGGACCAGAGCACGCCAGGCACTTCTGTCCTCCACTGCCTCCCGCAGTTTGATCAAACTCATGCTAGTAGCTTCAAGAACACCATCCAACCATCTCATTCTCTGTCGTCCCCTTCTCCTTGTGCCCTCCATCTTTCCCAGCACCAGGGTCTTTTCCAGGGAGTCTTCTCTTCTCAGGAGGTGGCCAAAGTCTTGGAGCCTCAGCTTCAGGATCTGTCCTTCCAGGGAGCACTCAGGGCTGATTTCCTTCAGAATGGAGAGGTTGGATCTTCTTGCAGTTCATGGGACTCTCAAGAGTCTCCTCCAGCACCATAATTCAAAAGCATCAATTCTTCGGCGATCAGCCTTCTTTATGGTCCAGCTCTCACTTCCATACATCACTACTGGGAAAACCATGGCTTTTACTATACGGACCTTTGTTGGCAAGGTGATGTCTCTGCTTTTTAAGATGCTGTCTAGGTTTGCCATCACCTTTCTCCCAAGGAGCAGGCGTCTTTTAATTTCGTGACTGCTGTCACCATCTGCACTGATCATGGAGCCCAAGAAAGTAAAATCTCTCACTGCCTCCATTTCTTCCCCATCTATTTGCCAGGAGGTGATGGGCCCAGTGGCCATGATCTTCGTTTTTTTGATGTTGAGCTTCAGACCATATTTTGCGCTCTCCTCTTTCACCCTCATTAAAAGGTTCTTTAATTCCTCTTCACTTTCTGCCATCAAGGTTGTGTCATCTGCATATGTGAGGTTGTTGATATTTCTTCCGGCAATCTTAATTCCGGCTTGGGATTCATCCAGCCCAGCCTTTCGCATGATGAATTCTGCATATAAGTTAAATAAGCAGGGAGACAATATACAGCCTTGCCGTACTCCTTTCCCAATTTGGAACCAATCAGTTGTTCCATATCCAGTTCTAACTGTAGCTTCTTGTCCCACATAGAGATTTCTCAGGAGACAGATGAGGTGATCAGGCACTCCCATTTCTTTAAGAACTTGCCATAGTTTGCTGTGGTCAACACAGTCAAAGGCTTTTGCATAGTCAATGAAGCAGAAGTAGATGTCTTTCTGGAACTCTCTAGCTTTCTCCATAATCCAGCGCATGTTTGCAATTTGGTCTCTGGTTCCTCTGCCTCTTCTAAATCCAGCTTGCACTTCTGGGAGTTCTCGGTCCACATACTGCTTGAGCCTTCCTTGTAGAATTTTAAGCATAACCTTGCTAGCATGTGAAATGAGTGAAATTGTGCGGTAGTTGGAGCATTCTTTGGCACTGCCTTTCTTTGGGATTGGGATGTAGACTGATCTTCTCCAATCCTCTGGCCACTGCTGAGTTTTCCAAACTTGCTGGCATATTGAGTGTAGCACCTTAACAGCATCATCCTTTAAAATTTTAAACAGTTCAGCTGGAATACCATCACTTCCACTGGCCTTGTTATTTGCAGTGCTTTCTAAGGCCCATTTGACTTCACTCTCCAGGATGTCTGGCTCAAGGTCAGCAACCACACTACCTGGGGTGTACGAGACATC